TTCTTTTATATACACCCCATCAGCGAGGTAAATGTTACTCTTCCTACTTGGTAGGTGAGAATCCCAAGGCTCCGAAAGCTTAAACGATTTACACAAGTTCAGCTAGCTAATAATCAGGAGGAGGATCCTTTGCTGCTTTAATACTACCTTCTCCTTCCACCTCTGATGCCTAACATTTTACTACTGGAACTCTGTTCCTTTAGCTTAAAGCACTGGTCATCTTTTAATTCCAAAAGCCTCTGGGAATGATCATGTCTAAGCTGGTGTTAGTCATTGGTACCTGAATGTACATGAATTTAGAATCTTTGCTGAATGCATTTTTTAAAAATATGGAACTGTTAAAGAAAATAGGGGCCCGAAGGGCCGCCCTCTGCTAGAAGAAACCTACAATGAGAATACACGGGAGAAAAAAAGAAGTTCATATGATTTCCACTTTGGTCTCAGGCCATTGCTTTCATCATCCGTTGATTTTTGAAAAATTTCCATGAGAGGCATCTTATTACACAGAATACCCATCTTGTCATCATATATGTAGAGCAGTAAGGACAGAGGAGAGAGTGGCTGAGCCTCTGCACTTTTGGGGAAGGGAACCTCAATCATGTGGCTCAGTGGGTTTCTGGCTTCTGGATAGATAGTATTTTGATATTTAAACTTTATTTATTTATTTATTTATTTATCATTAGAGATTTTATTTATTTATTTATTCATGAGAGACAGAGAGAGAGAGAGAGGCAGAGACACAGGCAGAGGGAGAAGCAGGCTCCATGCAGGGAGCCTGATGTGGGACTCCATCCTGGGACTCCAGGATCATGCCCTGGGCCAAAGGCAGGTGCTAAACCACTGAGCCACCCGGGGATCCCCTTGATATTTTTATTTATTTATTTATTTATTTATTTATTATTTATTTATTTATTTATTTATTTATTTTTCCCCTTGATAATTTAAACTTTAATGCAAGTGACTCAGGAATAGTTTTGCAACAGTGTCAAATGCCTCTTCTTCCCATGCCAGAGCAAGGAGGCCATGAAGGACCAGCACCATGGTGCCAGCCAGGCTGAAAAGGGCATTTATCCTTTGACCCTCATGCCCTAAGCCTCTGTTTTGTGCTGTGCATGTGCTATGCTAGGTACCAGGGGCTGGGGATGCCAGAGGAACAAGGCATGCTCCCTGCCCTTGATGAGCTCATAATCTAATGAACCCTCTAAGTACTGGGCGTTGCATAGGAGAAGCCCAGGAGTTGGCTGAGACAGGAAGAGCCTGGCAGCCTTGGAGGTCCAGGAAAAGGGAGGGCAGAGTCCAGAAGAGCAGAGATAATGTCCCAGGAGCAGGTGACACCCGGGTGAGCGCCAATGTAGGGCGGAGGCTATTTATCCTCTGTCCATGTCTACACCCGCTGGTGAATGTGTGGGTGGGGGTGGCATGGGGAGTGGTTGGAAGAGGCCTGGTTAACACTTTTAAGGCTGTTTCAGGAGCCAGTGGGAGAGACAGAACCACACAGTTCTTGTTCCTGTCATTCTGCTTGTGTCTTACCAGTTGCTAAAAAACCTTTATTCCTGGGCTTTCCTTGAAGCCACTTCACCCTCCTAGTAGATGAAGCCAGGATGAGGACTCACAAGGAAAGAAGAGGCCAACTCTTCAGCTTATTGCTGGACGATCCCTTTCCAAAGGGAAAGGTGCTCAGGAAAAACTTGGCTAGGAAAGCTCTGGGCAATTAGGACTCAAGTGACAGTGCAGGGGACAGAAGATCTCTTGATGGTGTTTATCGAGCCTGAGTACAAAGACCACAGGTCAAAGAGCAGGGAAGAATCTGACCTGGCCATGCTGGCAAGGTCCAAGGAAAAGCTAGATGTTGGAGTGGTGGACTTAGGCAGAAAGGGCTAGGGAAGGGAGAATGGGTAAGAAGGAGGGGGGAGCTAAGGAGTCTAGAAGAGCCAAAATGGCCCAGCACAGCAAAGGGCATCCCATCCAGGAGCAGAATAGGGAGGTCTGAGGGCCACCCTCCTTGGGTTTCAGTAATTAACCAGTCTCCATGTACCTGAAGACATAATTAACAGACAAAACAAACTCTTTTGATGTAAGAATGTAGAATGTCTGGAGGGAAAAAGGGGCAAATATATGAGAGAGCGATCTTGCTTTAATATGCAAACAAGGTTGATGGAAAAATATTACCAATAGGCAAATAGGCCAAACAAAGAAAGAGAAGTTTAGGAAAACTGGACCCTGAATGAATGGACATCCAGGATATCTCAGGCCTTTGGCAACATCCTGGCTAGCCTCTCTGGGCGCTGCAAAAAATCACTACTTTTTTTTTCGAAGAGTTCACACGTTTTTAACAGGCCAGCTGCCTTCTCATCCACTACCTGTTCTCCGCAAAAATTGGCAGCAAGTTTCCAAAGAGGCCTATTTATTTATGGAGTCAAAGCCCTGGAGAAAGTGAGGTGCAAAAGGCTTGAATAGCTCCTCCTGGGAAGCAAAGCTAATCGGGAATGGAGCTGAGCTTGTAACCCAGCATCCTGGATGCCTCTCCTGTGATATAACCCCTGAAACACCATTCTTTCCGTGGGGGCCAACTTTATTAAAGGAATCTGTTAATTGAGGGATGGTGTGGGAAGGGGGAGAGAGCAATAAGATGCTAACATGATTTAACACTTGATGGGCTCTTGAAAAAAATAAGGAATGGGGCTTGGAGCTTTCACTTGGCACATTCATCGTTCCACATACGTGTTACCAAAATGAATATGTGCAACTGTACTATATGTGGGCTAGAGTCTGGGACACAATAGCACAGACTTAGTGAAACAAAAAGGCATTTCTCCTGCCTCCACTGTGTCTCTTGTGGTGCCATTGTCTGATGCTAAGAACTCACATAATAACAAAAAACAATGCCCCTATGAAGGGGGGGGGGACTTGATTTGGCACCAGCAGTGGTGTTTTCCATGGGAATGGTGGTGGGGGCTGTGGCTGACTGTGGGAATAGTGCAAATCAGCACTTTTTTGTAGATTTTCTTCAAGCCATTGTTTATTTTGGCTTTGGTCAGATCCGTGGCCCAGCTTGAAGATTCCCACTGGGCTTTCTGAAGCTCACAGACCTATGAGAGATGAAACAGGGATAAATAAATAATTACAAAACACCCTACCCCCGCTCTGGCACTCATGTGTGGGGTGTGCCTATCTTGGTGGGTGTGTGTAGACATACATATAGGTCGCAGTAGTGCATATGTACACATTTGGTGTAGCCAGCAGAGTGAAAACTAAGGTTTTCTTCGGGCTTAGCTTTCTTCACTATCATCTTTCATTTGGGGCAAGGGAGATGGGTGCTGTTTCACACAAGTGCCGGTTTTTGCAAAATGGCATTAGATACAACTTGTTTGAAACTATATCTTCCTAAAGTCCTTAGATACTTATAGGCTTTTAAACATGAGTAACTCGGGTTACGGTCCCAGCAGAAACAAAAAGTCAGCAGTTGTTCTGATAATGGAAGGTGAGTTTTTGTTTCACAGCTCTTAGGGGCTTCTATCCTATCCTAGCTAAAGGATGCAGAGATCAACCATGCAAAATTTGTCACAGGACAGAAAGTATGTGTAGTATGATTATATTATGGTCCCAAATGTGAACACACTGGCTTTAAAATGCCAGTTCCTGATTGCTCTTGTCATAGCAGCAGGTTTTTATATTCTAAAAGTACACACAAGACTTTCTTGAAGGTTCTGCGTATGAAGCTGCTCCTGAGCAGAGTGGCTGGGTTGCTCAACTGCAGGGGGCAGTACTCCATGTGCCTTCTATGTAAATGGTTCTCCTGCAGGAAAATTCTAGGTGGCCTTGCAAGGTGACAATATTTAGATGGGTTTGTTGCAGAGATGTTTTCCAACAAAGTGCAGAAGAATCTTGTTTCCTGCAGCTTGTCCCTCGTGCCCTCCCCCTTTTAGATGCAAGTAAGGGACCCACGCTCTTATTTGGGTCTGGACTGAGAGAATCTTACTATGGGCCAGGTAGTGTGCTAAGTGCAGATGTGATTTAATCAGCACAAGAACCTTATCAGAGTTTCATGGAAGGGGAAACAGGCCAAGAGTGGGTTAGGGAACTTGCCCAAACTCACACAGTCTGTGTGCTTGGGAGGTGGACTTGAACCCTTCTCTGTGACACTCCCTAATGGCCTTCAGCTATCCCTCTGACTCCCAGCTGTACCTCCCAAGCCTGGAAAGCATCCCTGGTTCTTCTAGATCCTGACTGGGTGATAGCAGTCCAGTAAAAACAACAATGTCAACTGACATTGGGGTAGGAGTCTTCAGAGCCAAAAGGCGGAATTCAGCTGGGATGGGGGTGGGGGTGGGAGGGTCACGGGCTGCCATTTCTGCTAGTCCCTCAAATAAAAGGGTGCCAGGTGTGGAGGCACCCCAGCGTGAGCTTTGCACAGCTGGACCAAGGCTGGGAAGAGGACTTGTGGAGCGAGATGCTTACATCTCCTCCCCCTTCCTGGAAAATAACTTTGCATTTGAAGGGAGAAAGAGTGAGTAAATCTGTAACTGGGATTTGGCGGCCTGGGGATTTCATTTGACCCCGTGAAGGCGCACGCCTCTGTGGCTGTCTGTGCGTTGGGGCGTGTGAATTGGGGGTGGGAAACTTCAGGTTACATGTGATGGTTTTTTTTTTTTTTTTTTTTTTTCCCGGATTGGGCTTTCATTAAAAAAAAAAAAAAAAGGAAGAAGAAGTCATAGCTACCATTTAGTGTGCGAGGCATTGTGCTGGACCATTTACGAGGTCTTATTTTTATGTGAAGACAAAACCCAGCTTACTAGTTTGTTTTTTCTGCAGGTCCGCTCGGGGCATCGACTATTTTTTCCTTTCGTGTTGAAATACAGTGCTCTGCTCTGAGGTAAGATTTGGGTAGAGGCGGGGAGGGTGCGGGGACGGGCAGAAGGCGGTCCCTGCCTCGCTAGTCTCCACCTTTTATTTTGACCGGTCCGCGGCGACAGGCTCGCGCTAGGACCCAGGCGCCAGAGCGCCTCCGTCCGTCCTGTAGGTTCATTCAATCTCCCATACACACAGACCCACTGCGAGACCGACACACACTCACACACACTCGCACACACAACTGCACGCAGCGAGGCTCGGGAAGTCAGGTCGCCTGCTCGCCCGGCGCCTCCTCCGCTCCAGCCAGCCGGGGCTCCTCGGGGACCGGAGCTCGGCCGGGCAGCGCAGCCCCGAAGGAGGACGAGCTCGGCGGACCCCGGCTCCTCCATGGGCAAACGCGGGCGGCCGCGCAAGGAGGCGCGCTGCGAGGGCGCGGGGCTGGCCCCCGCCGCGCCCCCGGCCGTGGCCGCGCCCCAGCCCCCGGCCCAGCCCGAGGAGCCCGCGGGGGCCAAGCTCAGGTGCCCCTTCTCGGACATTTTCAACACCAGCGAGAACTCGATGGAGAAGCACATCAACACTTTTCTGCAGAACGTGCAGATTCTGCTCGAGGCCGCCAGCTACCTGGAGCAGATCGAGAAAGAAAACAAAAGTAAGTTTAGGGGCCCCGGCTCCTCCTCGGCGCCCGGCTCTTTCTTCCTCAACCACTTGGGCGACCCCTGTCGCCTGCTCGGCCCGCGTCCCCCTCCCCCCAACACACACATCCAGCCCTCGGCAGTAAAGCCGATGACACCGGAGAAAGGACACGCACGCACAAAGCTGCTAAAGATGTAACAAAGACGAGCGGGAGGGGGGGCGAGGGGGGCCTGTCGGTGCGTCCGTCTGTCCGTCTCCCCGAGGCTGGGGCGACCGCCGGGTGGACGAGCGGGGGAGTGTTGTTTGCTGACAACTGAGCCCAGAGCTCATCTCTTCGAGGTCGCCTTTCTTCCTCTCCCCCCTCCACCCCCCCTCCCCGCGCCGGAGCCTTCTCGGGCAGACAAGTGTTGTTTTTCTGTTGCTCGTTCCTGGGTGGGGTGGGGATTAGAAGCCGAAAGTTGGAAATCGTAGGCAGAGCTCAGCGGTTCGAGAAAAAAAAAAAAAAAAAAAAAAGCACACACAGAGACACACACGACAACAATAACAACAACCACAACAACCAAACAGCCCTCCACGGCGTGGGCTTGGTCTGGCCGGCTCGGCTGTGCTTCTCCCTCCCCGCCCGCAGCAGGGCTCCGGCCGTCGCGTCCACGGATACTGTACCCCAGCACCTCCGTCGCCCTGGGGTGCCCCCGCCCCCCCTCCCCCAAACAGGCCGGCTGGGCCAGGCAGCGCCAGCAGCTCGCCCCGGACTCGCCATCCTGCGCCCGGGAAACTTGGCGAGGGGGACGCAGCTAAAAGGAAACTTTGGGATCTCGCAGGAAACAATAGTTGGGGAAGAAGGTGTGGGCTGTTGTGTGCGGTTTCTTTATTTTCCGGGAGACGACTTACGAGTGAGCGCGCCTGGCGAGGAAGGCGAACGCCTGCCTGGTGGATTTCTGCTGTCCTCCTCCCCTCCCCCGCCCCCACCCCCCCTCCGCCGATTCAGGTGGCGAGCAGGGCTGGGGGCGGGGGTGCTGGGAGCCCCACCCGGCCTGGCCTCCTTTTTGTGTTTGTTTGTTTCATTTTTGCCCCTGCCTGCTGGGTCCCCCGGTCCTCCCAGGCAGTCGACTCAGCGTCCTAACGGGGGCACGCGTGTGCGATGTCTCCAGCACGGTCCTCACAAATAGGAGCTGCGTGAACGGGGAAAGGGTCGAGGCAGATAAACCGATAGACTGGAGAGATCCAGGCTGTTTAATCTGTCCGAACAAGTAGGAAGATCAATGAGAAGAGAGAGGGGGTAAAAAAAAAAAAAAAAAAAAAAGAGGTCCGATTGCAACGTGTCAGATCTTGCAACCTCCTCCCCCCAAAACACAACAACAATCCTCAAACACAAAAACACCTTAGTTGACCAACACCCCAGGCCTCCAGGGTGAAAGGAACCGTGTGTTGCCGGCGCAATTGTGCAGCGGCTGAAGGCAAAACCAAGGATTTGTGTTGGGAGGACGGTTGTGTGTGTTCTTTTCTTTCTCTTCTCCTGTTTTCTCGGAGTGCCTGGGTTGCGAGAAAGGCGCATCGCTGGCTGTGTAGCCGAATCAGTTTGCGATTATTCATGGGGGGGGGGAGGTGCATTCGTCAGGAGGGTAGTTTCTGAAAAGCCAGAGCTGCTGGGGAGCTGGGTGAAGACGTGGTTTTGTTTGGTGTGTTTGCTTTTGTTGGAGGGGGGAGGGGCGTGATTTCTTTGGCTACCCCTCACCCCCGTCCGGGGTTCTCCGGAGCCCGTCCCGTGGTGCCGACTCGGGGGGGGGGGTGCACCAAAAGAGGGCACCTTGGCAGTGTGTGGCAAGCCCGGCCCCCTCTCCCTACCCCAGCATGGTGTGCTAAGGAGGCTGCTGGAGCTTCCACCGCGTCCCGCCGCCCCCCCCCCCGCGCACCCGCAGACAATCGCAGACCTCCGCCCCCCTTGCCGCCTCCCCCGAGCCGTCCCCCGCCGCCCGGGCCGTCGCCACCTCCTAGTTTACCCCGTGCCGGGGCACCGGCGTGGCCACCAGTCACGTAAGCAGAGGGCCGGGCGCGCCGGGCCGGGCTACCCCGCGCGGGGCGGGCCGGCGGCGGGGAGCCGGGCGCCTGTGGCCGGGAAGCCGGGGGGCTTCCTCCCGGTGCCCTTCCCGAGCGGCCGCGCTGCCAGCCCCGCAGCCCCCGCGAGGGGGTCGGGAACCCCCGCGCCCCAGCCAAAGTCAACTTCGTGTGCGTAATCAGCCCCTCGGCCCCGCTGCTCCCCCCTCCGGCCGGCTCCCCGCGGGAGTATTTTTAGCTCCCTTGCCTCTATTTGCCGCCGCTGTTTGGCTCTGCATGACGTGATGCCAGCGGCCCCCAGATTTCCCCGAGAGCGTGGGGCGCTGCGCCTTGCCCGGCTTGGCTGCGGGGACCTCGCCGGCTCCAGGCCCTCGCCCCCTCCCCAGCAGCTCTCGCAGGCGAGGGTGACCTCCAGCAAAGTACGGGCGACCAGCTCCGGGGCCCCTATTATGCCCCTTGCAACCAGTAGCGGCCCACGGGGGCTGCTTTACCCTCCCCGCTTTCGGTCCCCCCCCGCCCCGCCGGGTCTCGGTTTCCTGGTACGGAAAACGGCGGGCCCTACATCTGCCTCATTTTATTGGGGGCGCTTCTTCGCGCTGGCGGCGCTCGCCGTTGTTTTCTGCTTGCTGCACACAATGCCCGCGCGTCACGGCGGTCCGCGTGTGCACAGCAATAACGCGAGTTGGGGGGCGGGTCGTGCGTGCGCCGGGCTCGGGCACTGCGGGTCGCTCCGCGCGCGCGGGGCTTGTTTTGCTTCAGAGCCCCGCTTTCCGAAACGCTTACATCATTCGGTCGTTGGGGGAGGGGGGGGGACCTGGGCGTTCCGATAGGACTCCGGCATTTCTCAGGTCCCTGGTTTTTGGAAGGAAGCAGGGATCCTAGTTGTTCAATTGTTATTACAATGAGAGGGGGCTCAAGCTTTGGTTTTTTGGGCAAGCTTTTTTTTTTTTTTTTCCTTTTCTTTTTTAGGTCACTCCTGCAAAGGGCAGTGCTGGCCGGCTCAGGTGCACAACCTCCCCGCCTTCATTTCAGCCAGTTCCCCTGTAATCACTTGATCTCAGTTTCTCCGCCTCCTCCTCCTCCCCCTCCCAGCTAGAGACACATGGTTTCCACATGGAGACAAACTTCTTTCCTCTGACTGGACTTGACCTAGCTGCGTGGTTCGGCCTATCGCCGGCTGCGGCTCTCTCTGACGTCACGCGTTGCTGAGGCCAGAGACTGGTGGGTGGGGCCAGGAGGCCAGCCAGGAAATCTCTGGGAGCCGTAGTGTGGCCAGCTGGTAGGGTCCCTTCTTAAAGGGACGCTCTTCCCCCCTGAGACGTGTGTCAGCCTTGATTCTCCATTTCGGGCTCTTGTGAGACCTTCCCAAAATGCACCACTAGACCCTGGTCACGAGTTCACACGTTTCGTTTTCACTGTTGTTTGCAAAGTACTTACTTGGCAGGAGCTTGCCATATTTTCCATTGTTGCCAGAACTGCTTTTCATTGCCTCTTTGAGGTTTCCGTAGGAGGAGTGCTCCCCAAGCTGTGGCCACAGGGCTGAATTATTCCCAGTAGATTTGGTGAATCTCCTCAGGGGGAAGGTGTTCAAATGAAGTCCCCCACTATTGACTGTCTGCTCTGTGCAAGGCCAGGATTCCCAGGGATATGCAGGTACGTTTTCCTGACGTGCCAACTGATGGGAATCCTTAAGGATCTCACAGGTCTCCAGAAATATTCATCATGGAAGCGAGGACCGGTTATCACAAAATCAGAAGTTATATGTAAATCACTTCTGGCATCATCTCCTATATCCATTTGGGGTCCAGTGAAGAGGTGGCAATTTAGAACTGACTAATAATGGGAAAAATCTTTACTTCCTGTTTTGGAAAAAAGGTTAAGACTGTAAGGGAAAAAGAACCAGATTCACAGAAGAGCTGCTCAGTGGGCAAGTAGAAGCTTCTGTAACAGGTAACATCCAGAGGATAGAAATGGGCTTCTCAGTGTCTGGGGAGGATAGCTTTTGGGGGCGATGGTTAAGATAGAGATGAAGGGTTACAGGGGAATAGAAGGCAGGCACTGCTCCCTGGAGTGGATTATCTGCCTTTGAGGGTGAGGTGCTTTCCTAGGGGCATGGACAGGCCAAGGAGCAGCCTCTTCCTCTTGATGGAGGAAGCTGCTGCTTTGTGGTGTCATATGGCCCCACCCTGCCTTCCTCACTTAATCTCCTCTGCTCCCGTCCAGCAGGTCCCCCAGCAAGCATGCTAGGCAGTCATGCCTCTGTACTTGACTCAGACTCTTCCCTGTGTCTAGAATGGCTTCATTCTCTTACTCCTCTGGGGTTATCTGTATCTTACTCACCCTTCAAGACCTAGGTCAGTTCCTACCTCCCCTAGGAAGCCTCCTCTGGCTATTTCTTAATTCAGTGTACTTGAGAGAATGAAAGCTTTACGGTTACTCAGAGCAGAGCCCAGATTCCTCCTTTGCTGCTTACTGGCTTCATGACTTTGGGTACAAGTTACCTCACCTCTGAGGTTCCATTTCTTTTTTGTAAATTGAGGATAACAATAGAACCAGCCTCACATCATTGCTGAACAACTAATTGAGATGCTCCATTTAAACATCTATAAAGTACCTGGAATAGGGGATCCCTGGGTGCCTCAGCGGGTTAGTGCCTGCCTTCGGCCCAGGCTGTGATCCTGGAGTCCTGGGATCGAGTCCCACATCTGGCTCCCTGCATGGAGCCTGCTTCTCCCTCTGCCTGTGTCTCTGCCTCTTTCTCTCTCTCTCTCTCTCTGTGTCTCTCATGAATAAATAAATAAAATAAAATCTTAAAAAAAAAGTACCTGGAATATAGTAGGTGCTCAATAAATAGCCTCTTCTCTGAGCTTCAATCATCAGTACCATGCAGACTTCTACTTGATTCCTGTGTATTAGCTTTATCCTCACAGGGAGATAATAGCATCCTAGGGGAAAAGATCA